TACATAGTTGAATACTTAATTCAAACTTTTGCATGCAAGCAAACAGACTTGTTTGCTTAAGGCCGAATCGAGCACATGCACAGCAGTCCTGCATGCAGGCATGAAATAACGCGAGGAATACCCTCAGTATGCATTACATGTGCGCTCTCACACTCTTTTCACTGCCTCCACCGCAACGTGCATTGCAATATGTATTTGAAGGTGATGTGCGCCGAAAGATGTGCAGGGTGGGACGAAACTGCCAGCTGCTTGACACGGCGTATCCAATCTTCGTTTTGGAAGTTCCCAAAATAACGGCCGTTGAGCCCTCGCGAATAAGACCGTACATCGTATATCAAGTGTTCGTAGTAGTGGCACTTGGGACGTACGGGCCACCGACATACTTTCCAATCGAGTGCTTCTGCAGCCAGCTTGTTGTAGGCTGCACGGTAAAGGATATACATGTGCTCGAGCTCCACTGTCTCATCTCTTGTAAAGAGGCGCCTGGATTCGGTGACACATGTACAGAAGATATTCTAAAGAAGAATACATTCTTAATAAACTATGTACAATGAGTAAAGAATCGAATCTTTATATAGGCAGGGTACCGCGTGGACAGCATTGCTTCCTCCATCTTGGCCAGGCCGGTGCAAACCACGGTCCGCAACCTTATATACAATCTTGCGGATATCAATTCCTTAAACCTTAGACCCATTGAAGTATGAATACAGTATATAGCAATGAGAAAAGGCGCAAGTGTATATATATATATATATGTATATATATGTATATATATATATATATATATATGTTTTCTATCTATACATATATATATATATATATATATTCTTTATCGTTATATGAGGTGTTTTGGGATTTACATGGCTTCCTCCTATGCTTTGTTTGACTCTCCCTCAGCACACACGCACAAACACACAACACAATGCACACATAGCAATACTAATCAGCCCAGGCACTGGAGGAACTCACTTGCAGGCTCAGTCTCCAAGAGAGACAACATGTAGTGCCGGAGCCATAAGATCATGAAGCGTGCTGCGGCAGCATTAAGGATCTTTTGGCTGATCGTTCGATATTCACGACCGTTGGGTCGGAGCACCTTTGACGAAAAGAGCTTTCGTCGTGCCCGGTCGGGCACTCCTTAAATCCGGGTCCAAGTTTCAAGCCGTTGAAACAGCGTTAAATATAATTAGACCCGGGTTGCTCATTGATTCGCACCAGCATCGATAGTTTTCCCACAAATCTTGTAAAGCTTGTTCGCGACGAGGGCCCCAAGCATCGGTCAGATCCAGCAGTAAGCTCAGGATGCAATCTGGATAGATTGCTAAATGCAAGAGGTGCATGCAGTCCGGTAGGATGCCTGCAGATGATTCAATCAGTTAGGGTTTAGGGTTGGGACGTTCATCTGATCAATTATAAATTATGTAATTGCGGACAGAATGCGCCACGGATTGAATCCGATAATTTCTGTCAAAGGTGATGAGCCGTGGACAGATCGGAATTCTGCTGGGCCCCGGATGAGCCTTGGAATCGACTTAACGCTAATAGGGATTGGCCCGAACCAGTTCAGTATGTTGAGCCCTATTAGGTTATAACTGCTGCCCAAACACGTCCCTCTATGCGCTGCACTAGGACCGAACGCAGTGTACAGTAGCTCCGGATTGTTGGGTGCAAAGGGATCTCCGGCGGCATAGGTCCAGGACAGTGCCTGGTAGCAAACGCATGATGAGCTAGCAAGCTGTTATAGAATCGGTACGTTTATCCCTGTACGTACTGCACACATCACTGCAGCTCAAGACTCTTCGCAGTAGTGACACATCATCTTCCTCGAATAATCGCCTGGGCTACAACAACTCATGATTAATAAGTATGGTACAGTGTATCGATGATTGCGTCACAGGCACGTTTGAGGTAAAATATCTTTCGCACAAACTCCAAATCCGCTTGCACGGCATCGAAAATACCAATATATGGCCCGCATATGCGACGCCCCGCAAGCTTGAAGCGGTCTGGCATATACTGTTTTCCAAAGGCATTGCCCCACGGATCCTCGTGCGGATATTTTCCACTTCCTTCGTGCGTAAAGATATACAAAGACAGCAGTTATCTCGTATAAGGTGATTCGTTGCAGCTAAGCAGCCCAAGCAATCGAAAGACCATTTGATCAACTCAAGTATGGCATGGCGGCAGTCGCCAGAATGAAATTGCATATTCATGCAACTGATCCTAGGTACAGAAAGCACAGTTGTACACACTAAAGTGTCGTCGTGCAGTACGTGTGGCGAGCCAAGACACAAGAACCGCGACAGCATTGTCGACGAGGGAGCCATTGGAGCCAGTAGCGCAAAACATTCGAAGCATTGATGTCCTGATGCAAGAAACAGGCCGACAGCAGTTAAGCAATTTCTGGCATAGTCTGATGCAATCGAATGAAACGTGGACCAATTCGACCATGTGGCTCGTGGACTCTGCCCCATCCCCATAAAGCCTCAAAGGAATACAAAATCTCGGATCAGTAGCCTCGGGATCAAAAGTACAAGAGTTTAAGCCTAGCAATGTAGCTTTACAGTCTTGGGGCTTGGAGAAGCGGGTGCTCCCGAAACCAGTTTGTCCCGGATAGCTCTTGCCAGTACTGCAGCAAATCATGCTCCTCGGCTGGACACCAATTTCGAGTGGTTTGAACCGTATGAAGGATCTCTAAATAGAATATTTAAAAAGAGAGATCTCGAGAGAGAGAGAGGGAGAGGGAGAGATCGAGAGACCCGAGGGAGGAATAGGAAGAGTCATGTATGCACACCCACAATAAACCGAGATATTTTCAGGATAGGTCAGATCTTTCTAGAATCCCAATGAAACATATGCTAGAACCAAGTAACGGGCCCCGTCACCATATCGATCTTTCCCTGTCGTAGAGGGAACCGATGATTTCATGTGGCAACAGCACATGATGTTTAATGAGGCGCTCCGTTCGGCCATGGGCATCCTCGTATACCTTGGATGAGACTCATGCTGCAATTGATCGAAGCGTAGGGTTTGGTTCATCAAGCATTGCATATTTGAGTCAAGGAGCTGATTTCAGCTGCAGCCTTGTGTCGCCGGCAGCTCCCAGATCAAGAGATAGAACATCATAAAGTACTATACACAGCCATATCCTACGTATAGTCTTTGCAGCTGGGTCTCATGAAGGGTTGAGGCAGGAACTTTCGCCACCATTGTTTGTCGGTCCAGCGAACGAGGGCCCGCATTCGGCCCCAACCATTCTGATTGATGAATCCATGGGCTAGGCTCAGTAGATCCGGCCTCAGGCAATTACAAAGCAGGATTACACATGGTAGTTTGTCGGTCCAAGCAACACCACAACATATTCTGCCCAAGCTTCGGCACAACTGCTTGAGGAATCTTTCGCAGCCGCTCCAGCGCTGCCGACAATTCATCGAGAGGGACCTGCTTGCATGTTCGGCTGGACGTTGGCCCCAGCTAATTATATAAGCCCCGAATATTGACACCCCGAACCCCAAGCTAGCAGCAAATGAAGACACAAGGGCTTTGGTTTCCTGCATTTAGTCCTTTGTCGTTTAGGATTTGGGGCTTGGGTTTTTAGTCGGGCTTTCCCACTATAATATTATGGGTTTCGTCTAGGAATCTAAGGCTGGCTACATCAACAGGGTTTACGCTCTCGCAACTCGGACAGGGTTTGGGGTTTAAGACTTTAAAGCTTGCGCTTTGATCAGTTATGGGGCTGAAGTTTACGAGTTTTCGGATTCTGAAACCCCAATTATAATGAACGTATACATCCAGGGTTTTGTGTTCAGCTTCTATATAGGGCTTTACAACTGTATAGGGTATGGTGTATGGTTTTGGAGCTCGGGGTTGAGGCCTGATCTCGGGTTCCAAGAAAAAGCCCATCAATGTGCGCATCAGCTGAAGACTGCACTCCATGTCGCAGGGTTCGGGGCTTGGGATACGATGTTCGGATATACAGGATTTGCGCTTTGGCTTGTTGGTGAACTCAAGATTAGGAATTGGGGTACCGGCCTATATGAGTAGTACTCACATGATGATGAACCGGAACTATTATTAGCTTGATTGTGGGCTGACGATTTGGGCTTATACGAGGATCGATCTGGTACTCAATCTAGTAGTCTAGTAGCAGTCCAAAACCAGGCCTTGCCATTGGAAAGCAATCGCAAAATGGCATCACAAGTTTGCTGCACATATTGGACGGCCCAGTTTCCAGATTCTGGACCAGCGCTGGGATCTGAAGCCATCCGAAGTCATCGCGAAATACAAAGACATGCATTGAAACCATCGCGAGTTAGTTCACTGACTATAAGAAACACGAAAGCTGGTGAGTGGATATGATCTAGCACCAAGATACGACTTGCGGTTCATTATTACAGTAGATCGAATGGCGGCTTGCAGCCATTGTGACACCTGAGGTCCCTTTGTGCACAGGGTTCAGGGCTCGGGCTATGTACCCTCGAGTATTACTGTAGGGTTCAAGCTATGCATAGGACTTGCAGATTGGTCTCAGGTTCAGATCTTAAGTTCGGGGCTTATAATAAGGTAGGTTAGAAACTAATAGCATCGGTATCTGAATTTGCATCCCAAATATACGACTTGCGTGCTTTATGCCGGGGCTTGGATAACAACGGTACTTCAAGAATCAAGCTCAGGCATATCGGATGAAGCATCCAGCTCAGCATCAACGACAAGCTGCAATCTGCGCGCAAACAGTGACGATCGAACTGGCAGGCTGGGGCCATGCAGCTTTTGCGCTCGTCTTCGGAATGATCCCCACAGAAACCCAAGCAGTTCTTATGCTCAGGGTCAAAACACATCAGGCTTGAATGCACTAGGCACAGCAGCACACGACTGAGCAGCAAATGCCCTTTATGGATATGGCCCAATAATTGTGCTTCCCAACCATTGATACTACCGCATCGAGAGCTGCATGTGCTTGCACTACAAGCCACCCGGCCCCCATTTCAAGCAACACGCATCTAGCTGCGGGCACGCTTTGCCGGAGCCTCTTCGTAACTTTCCTCGGGCCAGTGTTCCTCATTCTCATCTCCCCAAGTCTCCTGCTCCTCTGCGTATTCCTCATCATTTTCCTGGCCTTCTTTATTCTCCTTTTCTTTCTTTTCCTTCTCGGCTTTCTCACGCTTTCTCTTCTCGGCCGCTTTGCCTAAGTCTTGAATCTTATCGCATTCATTAATTTGTAAGATGTATGCTGATTGAACACACCAAGACCAGTTAAGCCCAGGGGCGACGTTCCTGTCCCTGGTAAATCCCTTCGGCGTCCAGAACTTGTCGTTGATAGTCCTGCCGGCCCTACATTGAGTAGTCTGAATCAAACCTAATCAAGTTTCAAACTAAATCGATCCTTCAGGGGGTCCGCCTTGACTGCATTCATGGCCTCAATGCACTCCGAAAGCGGCTTGGCTGCGATGACCATGCCCTGGATCCTGGGATGGCGGTACGGTATGTTCGGTTCTCTGAGTTCTCTGTTGGGTTTGAGTGCATGAGGCCACAGGGTTTCGAACGAGTCTGGGCTCAAAGTTTAGAGGGCAGGAGTTCTGGTGTGTACTATAGGAGATCGTGTTTGGAATGTGGAATGTCTACTACAGAATAAGGCTTGTAGCGTTTGGGGTCGAGTTTCGGGTTCTGTGCATTATACTGGATTTCAGATAATTATAACGGGGGGTATTACTTTTTACAACCTGCTCAGATGTGCAGACAAAGCACTCGTCGCGGATTCGGCCACAATCGGTGGAAATCCGGCCCAATTGAGTGATCAAGCTTTCTTGGTTCTCCAGTCCGCAATGAGCTAGGCCGGCAGCAACGGAAATCGATTTGTCACTCAAGTCCCGTATCCTGAGCTACATGTGGCAGTCACATGCTATCTTATCGGGTTACAGGGTTGCAGGCACAGGACTATTCTGCAAAGCCGGGCAACGCTTGCAAGTCCTTCTGGAAGCCCTTGGCTTCCACCTCCTCCGCAGTGAGTTCCTGGTAACATGGTAGGCTAAATCCCCGTACATACATTAAACCTCTGTGGAAAGACGTGTAAGCTAATCCCCCGATGGTCCTTTTTTCCCTTTTGTCCCTTTCCATTGCGGTTTTTGCCGTTGCCTTTAGAAGAGTTTGCCGACTGCGTCATCATCTTTCCCATTTCAGAAGCCTTTCCCTCCAGCACTTCCGCAACGGCGGTGCGCTCCGCCTTATTGCCGGATACTCCCTTTGTCGCTGTCGTTTTGCTGCCAACTCTGCTCACGTTGGCACCTTGGGTATATGATTGCAACGGACACAAAGCAGTATGCAAACACACACCTGGTGGTTTTGATCTTGACAAGGCACTGCTTGTCAGAATGTTCTTGAAGACCTTGTAAATTCGCCAATCGGGGAGGTCGCTTTGTGGGTGTTTCTTCCCCTGCTGACCCTACAGCAGTTGAAGCAGGAAGCCTACCAATATTCCAAAAAGTACAACTTCAGAACTGAGACAGAAACTCGCGAGAATGTCGGCGATCAGCTGGGGCCCTCCTGTTAACCCCTCGTACTTCTGCTTGATCATAACCAGGGGGAGTTCCTCGAAGGTCTCCTTTTCTTTGTTTTCGGAGAGCCTTAATCGATGCACACTTCGAGTCTATGCCGAACCTAGCTAGCAAATCTGAAATGGGTGTGGCAATATAAATGAGCCCAGGCACTCCTCGTAATATGGCTGCACCTCGATGGTGGCCAAGTGATCCCTGTCCAGCAAGAATGCCTTCAGAAAGGCGAACCTTAGTCATTGGTTGTTGGGTACCCGGTTGGTTATTTAGGGGCTGGTTCCTGTGATTAAGGCTTCAATGATTTCGTGATATAATGCAGGGAAGCCACCGTGCCATAGAATTGGAGGGTGTCGCTGCCCATTGAGCCACTAGCCCTTTGCGAAGCCCTGCAGATCACAGGGAATCATTGATCCAGAATCTACACCATATTACACCATAACTGAACCCTCGAGTTAACGATGTGTATAGGGCTTATGGTTTCCGGATTTCAACTAAATTTTTGGGTTTAGGGACAACCGGCCTGCACCATTCGTCATCCTGCGCCTCAACTTCTCATTAAGGGCCTTGCGCTGCTGCAGCGGGATGTCACTGGGCTTTTGCAAAGCCTGGGCATACAGGAGAGGTTATATAGTGGGATGGTATATTTGGGCATTATGTAACTTGATGGTCCAGTGGTTGTAATCGATATAGCAGGGCACCTCGATCTGTGCTCTTTCTTCATCAGTCAAGGGTCGGACCTCATATGCACGGCACAGCACCGATAATCATGCTGATTGACAAATTTGCACACACATTGCCGCTGAGCCACACCGTCAGACTCGGGGATACTCAAGGGTTCCATTTCCACAGGGCCGGTGCCGTCACTCATAGTCGAGATGCCAGTATCCGAACGGAGAATGGGTTTCCCTGGCCTGGGTTTGCTTAAGGTTGGCATACACAAACACGGAGGGTTCTAAAAAACACAACTTGCATTGCACATGTACAACAGTGGCCCACAGTACATGTGTCTAGCAGCTTCGAAGCAGCTGATGGGCTCGCCATCGCAGTGGATCCCACGTCGGAGGCTGCGAGTGGGTAGTTGTATGATTAATGGTTGTTAATGTTAATTGCAGGAGGGCCCAGGATTTCTTTGGTGTGGGACAAATAGTAAATACAAATAGGCTTTGGGGTTCAAGGGTTTGGGGTTTTCAGTGTACAGTTAAACACATGCAACAACACGCAAGAACACAGAGAGAGGGAGAGAGAAAGAGAATTTTAGAGAGAGAGAGAGAGATAGAGAGAGAGAGAGAGAGAGAGAGAGAGAGAGAGCGAGCGAGAGATATACATGTGCACACCGATACCCCAGATGGCCTCCTCCGAAGGACACCCGGCGACACACCTGGTGACCTTCAGGCTCCCCAGTAGGCTTGCGTTTGCCTTTGCCACTCGGCTGCTCGAACGTGGCAGCGGCTGGGCTCTTACCCTTACCCTTCGAGTGGTTGCCCTTGGTGATGGGGGCGATCTCCTGTACTCCCTTGGATCCTTTGCCTGTTGGCTTCTCCACATCGGGTGACCTGGTGGAGGATGGCTGGCTCGGGGGAGTACCTGTGCTCAGGCTGGCTGCTGGAGACTTTGGTGGGGGTGTGCACGGATCAGGGTCCTTTGATGCATCCTTACCTCCGCTGCTGCCCTTACCACCGCCGCCCTTTGCATCCTTACCACCACTGTGGCCCTTTGCATCCTTACCACCGCAGCCCTTTGCATCCTTACCACCGCCAGTGCCCTTTGCATCCTTACCACTGCCCTTTGTGCTGTGGCCTTTTGCATCCTTACCACTGCCCTTTGCACTGTGGCCCTTTGCATCCTTACCACCGCTGCCCTTTGCATTCTTACCACCGCCAGCGCCCTTTGCATCATTACCACTGTCCTTTGCATCCTTACCACCAGCGACGCCCTTGGCAGCCTTGCCACCACTCTTGCCCTTTGCATCCTTACCGCTGCCCTTTGCATCCTTACCACCAGCACTGCCCTTTGCAGCCTTGCCACCGTGGTCGCCCTTTGCATCCTCACCGCTGCCCTGTGCATCCTCAGCACCAGTGATGCCCTTTGCACCCTTAGCACCGGCGCCCTTGCCGCTGCCCTTTGCATCCTTACCACCATTAACGCCCTTTGCATCCTTGCCACCGCTGTTGCCCTTTGCACCCTTACCGCTGCCCTTTGTATCCTCACCACCACCATTGCCCTGTGTATCCTTACCGCTGCCCTTTGCGGCACCACCACTGCTGCCCTTAGCAGCTTTGCCATCGCCTTTGATCGCGGCAGCTCCCGTGGCAGCAGCTGTGCCGCCACTCGCTAGCTTACCAGATCCTTTGCTAGCTGCAACCTTTCCCTTGGATTTGCCCTTGCAACCATCAACACCAATTGCAGCTTTGCCGTCGCCTTTGGTCCAGCCAGCACCGGCTGTTAATGCATCGGCAGGGATCTTGGCAACATACTCATAGTGCCGTGGCTGTGTTGCCACCGACACACACACGGCTTCGTCGTGTGTGCTCGCTGGGGCACTGGTGGCTCCCTTGGCCCCCTTCTTACCCTTCCCACCCATTGCGGATCGATCCGGCGCCGAGGGGCTAATACACGATCTAAGCTGATCCGTGTGTTGCTTCGGGGCACGCGCGAAGTGCTATAGGTGCTGAACAACCGATACACGCTGATACACGCTAGTCGGGGGTTTAAACCCTCGAATACACGCAAATACACGGGTATACACGCTAGTGGTCCCTAGTACTTCGGATTAGATTACCAGGCATCACGCTAGACAGCCGTTCATTTTAGGACCCCAGCACGACGCAACTGCTCGTGGCCGTTCAAGACTAGCAGCCGACCCCAAAACTCAAGCCGCTCATCAGCTTAATCTTGACACATCGATCACTGGGAGCTATTGCCGACCAAGTTCTCCAGGCCCGAATCAGAGCTTTCATCGCACGAGTCATCAAAGAGCTCCATCTCGAGCTCGTCGACAACAGGTTTTGGTTTCATCGTCTTGAAGTGCTTGTCCATTAGGTCCGCAACCTGAGCACCCAGCTTTAAGCAGGAACCGAGTCGATGCCTATAGACCAATGGACCAGATGTACGTGGTTTCAGAAAAGCCGCTTTCATTGCGAATGTGCCTGGGTAGATACCAGTAGCTGTAAGATCTTTTCCACCGACCTTAAGCCCGATCAGACGTGTATAAGTCTCAATGAGTGTCGCTACACAGAAGCATATGCAGTCGATCGCCAGGGCACTCGACGATGGCGGCCGGCTGGATCAACGTAGCCTCTGCTGATATCCATCTTGACGAAGGACTGGATGCGTCTCAGCTGGTTCCTGCATAAGACCCTACTATAATTATAGTCAATGCCCAGTCCAAGTATGATTTTGACAATACCCCAGGATTCAGAGAGAGATCTAGTGATGTGAAATTCATATCCATTTTACACATGTAGACCACATGCACTCTACATTTCAGGACATGGTTTAATAGGTGCTTCCTAGTGACTAGGAAGCACCTGTTAAATCATGTCCTGAAAGGGGTCCTAGTGCCGTGCCCCTATTGAACCTAATTTCCTCCTCCTCCTCTCTCTCTCTCTCTGTCTCTCTCACTCTCTCTCTCTCTCTCTCTCTCTCTCTCTCTCTCTCTCTCTCTCTCTCTCTCTCTCTCTCTCTCTCTCTCTCTCCCTCTCTCTCTCTTGTTCTCAAACAGCACCCCATATTAGATGTCACTGATAGCATCGATAGCACCATGTAGTTGGCTAGTTGTGATAAGATGTTTGGTGAGCTGGCTGGTCTAGTCTAGTTTAGCATAGGCAAGGTTACTTCACAATTAGTTTACACTTTAGTCCATCGCTCGGGTCACTGAGTTAACTGGGTCAAATGTCACCTAGATTCGTACTGACGTGACAGGGGCAGGGTGGCTCCAAAGCGTGAGCGAAATCGTGCCCGGAATGTATTCCATAGCTACTCTTTGAGTGGGTGATTTCGACGGGAAGTTAGTCTAACAACCATAATAGAGAGGTCGCTTAGATATTAACTATAGGTGAGGTAGCATGGCTTGCAAGCTCCTATTTTTGTAGCGGTCAAAGTTAACTCGCAGCTTCAATTGGTTGACTTAGCCTGCCATTCAGGTAAACTTCGAACAAGTTGGCTTGTACATGACGTAGGTTAGCTTCGCTCCTCCTTGATCCGGACAGATGTTCATACAGCTTCGGCAGGAACGGTGCGGTCCCCCGTAGTGTAACCTGGGCGAGAATAGGTTGGGCCTTTCCAAGCAGCCATGGGTTTCTTTAGAACGGCTTGGAAGAATTAGACTGCTGGCATGTTGTTGGCTTCCGCTGCAATATAGGTCACTATCTTGGAGTCATATATCATGCAAGCAACACACTTCTTTGATGGCGCCCCCACGGCACCTAAACATAGGTTCACACCCTTGGCTTTGTGTGCTCGAAGTCGGGCCTCAGTACTTAGCAGCGACATTGCATTGCATGAGCTGAAACCAATACCTTATTCTATCTTCAAGTCGGCGCACTCGAATACACGGCATCTCAAACAACACGGAGCCAGTCGGGTTCTCGAGAATGTAGTAGGAGCCAGAACGGAAGTGATATTCCATCCTGAGTGCATTTGCGAGTAGGCCCAGTAGGCAGAGCCCTGGATCCGAGGTATACCCACATTCAGTTTGGCGACAAGTATGCGACTCGTCTCGCCAGGCGATTCGCCCGGCTCACCTTGTCGAGTTTCCGATCACCTTAGCATTGTAGTCAGATATACGATGAACCAAATAGCTTTTCCATCATTTCAAGTCTAGTAGGAGGCCTTTGACATTCAATCGTCGCCGCTTCGAAGACCCGCGACTCCTAGGTGTTGTACTGGACTGAAATAAAACACAGACGTACTATAGCTCTGATGAACTCTGATGAAGTCTTGGCAACTCTTGCAGCCAAAGCTCATGAATATCCAACTGCTACAAGGCACAGCATACCATGCGACTCCTTGGGGACGAAGCCTTCTGGCCTAAGTTTGTTTGACCTCTAGAATCAATACCCCAAAATCAGGGATACTTAGTATTCGGCCCGGGCCGCCGGCAAGGGAAGTAGGGATTTGGGGTTGTTGAGCTAGGAGTTCGGGTTTATGGGGCAGAGCCTATATACTTTTATGATTTAACTATGTTTGGGGTTATATTTTATGTTTCAAGGGCATCACTAAGTAAAACAGATGCATGGCTGATGCTGCTCACGATTAGGTGACATCATCAAGCCGAGGTGCGGAGGTCAAGAACACCAAGAAGCCAAATGCCGTTAGAATATCCATTTTGGAGGAATACGCCACCTGGGGATAGGGACACCAAACCTATAGATCTGCTTATAGGGTAACCTTAGGTTAACTGTAATTGAAACAACCGAGGTGCGTCCACAGCATGTGCCCTCAAGCCGTAGTGTACAGCAGCAGAATACAGCAAGTGAGCTCCTCGTCAAGTCTGTTTGGAGTCTACAAGTTTGTTAGACGATGCACTCAGCAACATCAGTCCTGCGAAAACTTCAACAAAATCGAGATCGCATGGTTTGGGGCCAAAGCCTAAGCGCTCGATCCAAAACCCCATACTCCGAGCCGAGCACTTGTAAGAATTGAACACTCCTCTGAGGATTAACGATGACCGAGCTGCTGATCCTCAACGTCGCCAAGGCCAGGAGCAATCGACAAAACTTCATGGTCGGAGATCTAAGAATCTAGAGTATGTCGTGAGTACCCCGTGTTCTATAAGAACCTTAATTCCTTAATATTAGGAGCCATATCCAGTGCGTTAACAAACTCATATGGGCAGTTTTGCTCATGAGCGACATGTAAGAGTATATGTATAAGCCTAGGATCGAATATGCAGCTGAGAATGCACACCACAGAAGACCACAGGCCCACGACAAGCATCGATCATGTAGTGCCAAGATATGCAAAGGCATGCATACACAAGTATTTCGAAGACCTGTCGCTGAAGATCGCGATCCCCACAGCAATTAGTATTCGCTGTCCTTTGAACAGCAAGCGAAAAGCTGTGCACGCACACTGCCATCAACACCCTGCGTCACATAAGGCTGCACACTTCCAGAGATCTACACATGCGTAAGTCTTGACTGGTGTAGAGAGACCGACCATAGGCCTTATGACGCAAACCCCGCTGAGATGCAGCAGATCACACACCGCTTTCCTGAAAGTGCCAAAAGCTACTTCAAACAATTGCGCAGCGGCGACGTCTTTGTTCTTGCAGGTCCATATTGGCGAGCACGTCCTTGCGCTCGTCACTGTAGTTCCACCTGAAGGCAGGCGAAATTGTTTTGCTTGTCGATTCTTCGGTAACCGACAACCCCCAATAAGCCCCGTATAACCACAAAGAAACTAGCCTAAAGCCTGCAATAACTATGCGTGTAAAGTTTCGCCATGCATGAGATCCCGAGGATATGTTCGCCATGATCACGGATTCGCGCGCCAAAGTTTCCCTTTAGAAGTGCAACCATTAATTGTTGGAGTTGTGTCTAGCTTCCCTCTGGTTCACGACGGACATATGAGAAACTCCTAACTAGATCACCCATGAACAGAACATGCCACTAGAACTTATCTGACGCACCCATGCCCCGCTTTCAAGGTTAAGGCTTCAAACTGCTGTGTTTGAAGAGGAGGGACAAATATATGATAATATGTAGGGTTTCGGCAATCGGCTCCATGAGGGATCGACTGTTAACAGCAACCAGTATATACTCGCCGCGGTACTAGTGACTCTATACGGCAAGTAATGAGCTAAATATCCCTCCAATTGATTATACCCGACCAACATACTAGGAACCAAACACCGGTACCCCTACATATGAAAAGTGCAGGAATAACGATTGCCGCATGTGACACATATGATCCATGCACATGCAAGCAGTCGTCCACTCGCGATCGCATCCATCCTAAATCTGCAGATCGCTGGACCGCCCAATGGAGAAATGCTCTCAAGCGTCAACGGTTCGTCGCACTGCCCATGCAAGACGGTGTTCGGCGCCAGCCAGATCATAAGAATCGTTAATGGCAGATTGTGGCATCGCGTCGCATGCAATCGCTCGCCAATGCATTCTTGCTCTCACGTTTTTGGTGTTCTGGCCGGTTGGAATCAACAGCGATCCCGATAAATCTAGCGTCGTCTTTCTTTTTACTCATTCGCTCTCTCACCCTCCCGCCCGCTCGCTTCATCTTTCCTCCCCCGTAGGTAATTCTTTCAAATTCTGAATGACAGAAGCGGACTATAGCCCCTGAATCCTTGCCGGCGTTGCTTCTCATGCCAAAATCTCTTCGTTTATACAATAACCCTATTATACTGCAGTACACATTCCTCGCGCACTCTATATATAGACACAAAACTCTTGATCTCTCACACTCGTTCTCTTCCGCCTCGCTATCTCTATTTCTATCACCCCGATAATTGGAAGGAATGCCGATGCGGATGTGATTGGTTACATCGTGGCGGAGGACAGCACATACTTGGTATAGTGTTCCAAACATATACAGGAATCAGTTTGCTTGTTTATATAGCGGTCTTAACAGATTATTGGTGCAATGCAATCGAGACCTATGGACACTACAGGACATGTAATAAGTTTTGAGACCCAGCTGGCAATCCTCAGCCCAAACTTTCTTGCAAACACGTGCCGGAGTGAAGTCCCATAAGCCAATCTCTGACCCCGAATCATTATGTGAAACACTGGAACACTAATCCCAACTGAAGCCATACCCCTATATAGCAGTGGAGTACATGGGGCCCCAGTATTAATCGCTTATTGTTATTGGTATGTTGCTCTTGCTTATTAACATTTTATTACGACTTAGGAACTTTTCGTACTCGCAACATGAAGCTCAAGACCAGTGTCCCGAATTGTCTAGTCAAAGCATCCAGACAAAACCTAGTGGACGATCGAATTCAGTAGGACCCATCGACCAACTCTCAAGCAAAAGACCAAATACTAAACCCCAAACCTTGAAGCCTTGAAGCCCATGTAACAAACTTTGCAGAAACCCCTTTTGCTGTTTTCCACGACCAGTACTACGTGCGTGACTGTAGGCTCAAGTGTGCTTTGAAAAGTGTGCGTTGCTCTGTTGTGGTAGCGGAGCTTGCGAAGGTGCAAGCTCGTAAGTGTAGTGGGTTGTTGTGTGCCTAAGTGCTCGCGGCAATCCTGAGCCCTGGCTTGTGCCAGCATAGTCCAGGGGACTTTCTTCGCGTGTCGTGTGCTCGAGTGCTCGCGGCTTCCAGAACTTCGTTGTGAGGTACCTCCTTGCTTGGGAAGTAGTTTGAGCCTTGGGCCCTTCTTGAAGGATGGCTACTTCGGCTGGTGAGGCGGCCCAGCCTCAGCCTGCGGCTGGAGATGATGGAGGGGCGAGCCCAGGGGGCGCGTCCGTGGGAGCGCCCGCGGCTACGCCGCCCTCGGCGCAAGCTGTGACCCCAGAGATCGTCTTGGGGCGTTTGGCAGAAGCTGTCTCTCAGCTAGCTGCAGCCAGTGGGTCGTCTGGTAGCAGTCCTTGGAAAGAGAGCAAGTGGATCAAGAGCCCAGAGGTTTTCAGTGCTAAGACCTTAGATGAGGAGGTTGCTCTTTGGCCCGATTGGTCCTTCAGCTTCCGGAACTTCATGGCAGTTCAAGATGATGAATATAGGGCTGATTTTGAGAAAGCCGAGACTGCAACGATGTGGGTTTCCTTTGAGGATTATAGTCCGGCTTTGCGAGCGCGTTCTTTGAGATTGTATTCGGTGCTGGCCTCCTACTTGAAGGGCCGTGCTTTGAAGATCTTGAGATCAGTGGCAAGTGGCGATGGCTTTAGGGTCTGGCGGCAGTTGGCAGAAGAATTGCAGCCATCGTCCCGACCCCGGACGCTGGCTTTAGCACAGGCCCTCACCAAGTTCCCACCTCTTCGAGATGGCGGTTCAGTCTTAGAGTATGCTCTCACGTTCGAAAAACTGGTCTCGGAGTACGAAAAGGCCTCCTCCAAGACCTACCCAGACGATTTAAAGATAGGGACCCTCCTCAGTGGCCTACCCCAAGATGTGAAGCGCTACTTGCAGTTGCAGATAGATGATTCAACAACTTATCAGAAGCTGAGGGGCATCTTGCTGCAGTTTGAGCGCACTTCAACAACTTGGAGCACGGAGTATGTCATGAAAGCCATAGGCCTCGATAAGAACTCGTACCCAGGAGATGGACAAGGTCTTGCCCCAATGGACGTGGACCGCGTCGAGAAAGGCAAAGCAAAGGGAAAGGACACCAAGGGCAAGGGCCGTGGCGACAAAGGAAAGGGGTTTAAGGGCTACAAGGGGTACTACCAGACCGGCAAGGGCAAACCTGGTTTTGGCAAGGGCTTTCAGTTCGGTGGCTTCGGAAAAGGCAACCAGGACAAAGGCAAGGGCTACAAGGGCAAGTGGGCCCATGAAGGCGGCAAGCAGGGCAAGAAAGGTGGAGCTGTTAAGGGTCCTTGCTTTGTGTGTGGTCGCATGGGTCACCGAGCAGCTGAGTGCAGAGATCGCCGCGTGAACCAAGTTGAAGACGATAATGCCTCTGTGAGCACTAGGGCTTCCTCAAGTACTACCCGAACGGCATCCTCAACAACAACACCCTCAACAACAACCTCTTCCCCAGCCAAGGTTTGCCGCATGGAGCTGGACACGTGGCCGCTGATCGAGGAGCTCCCAGACGACGATGGTGACAACACTGGGGCTTGGCATAGCACTGCTTTGGTTTCGGAGGTTGACTTTTACGAGGGTGAAGAAGCTTGGGATGAGTATGGCTGGTGGGATGAATCCGAAATTCCTGCTGAAGCCTATGAGTACATCAGGGCAGTCAGTGCGTGTGATGGTTGGTACAGTGACTCTAGCGCTGAGTTTGAAGAGGTAGACTTTGCAAGCGTCGAGTGCTTTGAGCTAGAGTGTGAGCTTCCTTCCACCAGCACGCTTTGCTTTGAGCTTGATCGTGACAGCAGCGGAGATGAGTTTTTCCGAGAGTGCAGTTCTGAATGCGACTGTGAAGTTCGTGCGGTGTGCTGCCCTACGGACCCTTCCGAGCCCTGTGAAGTCATCTTGGATTCAGGTGCTGATGTCACTGTGCTTCCAGCGCATCTCTTCAGCACCGTCGGTGTGGCGGAGAAGCAGACTACTCGGCTCTTGGATGCCCAAGGCACGCCGATTCCGCAGATGTCGAAGAGAGCCAATGTTTCCTTTGTGGTGCAAGGGCTTGATGGTCGAGAGATTGTTTTCCGAGATCGAGCGGTACTAGCAAATGTTCGGCAACCTTTGTTATGCGCTGGTAAGCTGTTTCGCGGTGGCTGGTATCCGAAAGCTAGTTCTACAGAAGACGGCGTCATGGTGATGTGCAAAGGCGATCAAGAGTTTCCCCTCCACTTTGCCCGAAATTCTGTTGCAGCCACCATGCGTATTCTGAGGACTGAAGAAGCTTGTGTACGCGTGGTGATTGAGGTGAGCGATGAGTTCTTAGCTGGACTCAAGCGGCAAGGCTGGCAAGTGACTTCGGGATCAACGCCCACACATGTGCAGTGGAACTCTACAGTGACTGCAGACCCCAGCCAGCTTTATGACCCCGAGATCCTGCCTCTTCGTACCACGTTGGTGCACAAAGGGGAGAACAGGTTTGAGATTTTCGAGTGCGGTGAGAATTGGGAGTTGAAGCCTGTGGTGGATATAGGGTGCCAGCCGACTAGGATCGTGACCTTGTTGACTCAGAACGCCTTGGCTGCCACTGACCTGGGAAAAGTTGTTGCTGACCCTCAATCCCCTCTGGTTCCCAGGTTACCTGCTGCGTCTCAAGAAGAAGCTGCCGAACCTGGAGAAGCAGATGAGGGAGTTCAACAGCCAGGCGCGCCCGTGGGCGGACCGGAGATGCAAGAAGTGCCATTGGAAGGCGAGGTGGTGAAGGTAGGTGACAAGGAGTTTCGTGAAACCTCTAGCCTTCGTGATCTTCGCTGGGCGTGCCGCTACTTGAAGCTTCCGCAGAGTGGTGCTAAGAGTTTGTTGTGGACGCGTTTGCAGAAAGAGATTGCACTCAACAAGCTCAAGTCAGCTGTGCAAGCAAGTGATGCAGTCATAGCAGAGTACACCCCTGATGTCAATCACGGCCCTCTTCCTCAACGCCCCGACGCTCAAACCGTTATGCTTCACGAGCTGACTCACCTCCCTCGGGCCGATTGGTGTGAGAGCTGCCAAGCTGCCCTTTCGAGGGAGGATCCGCATCCAGAGGTTGAGCCGAAGAGAGAAGTGCCTGTTATCTCGGTAGACTGGATGTTCAATAGGACAGGAGAAACTGAGAATGATGAGCACCCCTTGACGACTCAGTTGGTGGCAGTGTGCCACACTACAAAGTACGTGGTCTGTGTGCCGGTTCGTTCTAAAGCAGCTGAGGACAACAAACCGGCCGTAGAAGAGCTGGTCAAGATGGCTTCGATCCTCGGCTTTGACCAGGTCACCCTTAGAGGGGACAGCGAGCCTTCAATGAAGAAACTTTTGCAGATGGTGCAGATGGCTAGGACACGGTTGGGGTTAAAGACTGAGATTGAGACGGCAAACCCCGACTCCAGTGAACATCAGGGATTGAGAGCAGAGCGCTACATAGATAAAGTTCGCCGCCTTGGTCTTTGCCTCTTGCACACCGTGTCTGCCAATTCGAAAGTCGAGTTGAAATCGAGCCACCCGTTGTACCAGTGGAGCTTCAGACATGCAGCCTTCTTACTGACGCGTTACCATGTTCACACAGATGGGGTCACTTCGTTCGAGTTGGTCCATGGGCGAAAGTTCGATGCAAAGATTGCAGCGTTTGGGTCGGTCGTCTTTTGCCAACTGTTACCCAAGCCGAAGACGAAAGGGATTCCATGGGAGAAGTGTGTGTACCTCGGCCGTTCCTCAATGGGTTCTTTGAGCATCGTCTCTTCCAGCAAGGGCATAGGGTATGCACGGACAGTTCGGAGAGCAGCTGAAGTATATCAAGCGGATGCTTTGCTGGCAATGCGCGGTGTTCCTTGGAATCCTTTGCAAGATGTAGTCACCATGCGTGTTCCTCGGGGCCCCCGAGTACGGGTTCCGTTGCTTGTTGATGCAGCACCTTCTGCTGCACCACCCGGGGACGAAGCGGCCAGTGATCCTCCAACCTCGGCGACTTCAGAAGCACCTGCAGGCAGCCCCGGGGAGAGCATCTTAGATGGGTTGAGTGGAGCTGCCAGCAACAGCTCACACGAGCTCATCCCAGCCGACATGGAGGTTGGAAGGGTTGAGTGGTTTCCCGTTCGTGTGGTAGATGCAGAAAAGCCGCATGGACACGAAGATGACATTGTGGTGTGTGACCCTGAAGAGAGTTTGGAGCTGCAGTGCGACGAGGGCTTTGCAAGTGAAGAGGAAGGCGTTCCCGAAACTTCTGACGGTGAGAGAGGTGACGCAGGGATGCCTTGGGAAGGCCGTGAGTATGTAGAGGGACCCCCAGAACTCGAAGCTCAGGCTTTGGCTGACCTTGACAAGCAGATGGAGCTCAAGGAGCTCGACCGCCTCCTTGGCATGACAGTGCTGAGACCGATGAATGGAGAGCAAGATAGAGAAGGGAAAGTGCGTCTTCAATGCAAGTATGTGCTGGACTGGCGATATAGGAATGGTTGGTTGCGTCGTGCACGGCTTGTTGCAAAAGAATACCGGTTTCTCGAGCCCTCGCTGACGGACCTGTATAGTCCTGCTTCGGTGTCCTGTAGCCACAAACTACTTGCGTGTTTGGCTGCAGGGAACAGCTCACTGGAGCTGCTGAGCGTCGACATTACCGACGCTTACTTGCAAGTGAGACAGAGGCGGCCCACGTACATCCAGACCCACATCGGCGACCTAGAACTCCTTTACAATCTACCCGGTCAGAGAGCAGGGGCAAAAGATTGGTTCACCCACCTCCTCGGGATCCTAAAGAACAAAGGCCTCAACAGCTTCATCGGCAACCCCTCTCTGTTCTGCGTAGAGCAAAAGTTGGCGCTGAACAGCCATGTCGATGATATGCAAATTCTAGGACCCAAGGGTGCGCCCATGCAATTGGCCAGTGACCTCAAGGCTGAAGGCTTGAAGTTGAAAGTGGATGGCCCCGTTGACTTGGGTAGTGGCTGTTCCCATTTCTTGAAGAAGAAGTTCCAAGGGCTCGGTGACGCCATTGAGGTGACCCAGGATACAAAGTATGCAGAAAGGCTTCAGTCAATCTTGGGTTTGGAAAAAGCTCACGGCAAGCAAAATCCGAGTCCACCCAAGATTCCCGCGCCAGGGCAAGGAGCGAGCTTAGACTCCGAGCACCTCCACCTCTATAAGCGGTGCGTGGGTATCCTCATGTACATGAGTGCTGAGAGACCGGACTTGCAGTACATGGTGAAGGTGTTGTCTTCGAGGAATAGTTCCCCTACCGTTGAGGACTTTGGTCTGTTGCGTCATGTCGTGAAGTACCTCAAGTTACACCCAGTGATCCCGATTAGGTTGGAAAAGACCAAGCCAGGGAAGACCTTGAAGCAGAAGTGGGACGGTGTAGATCCTGATGAACCCGAAGATCCCAACATGCCGTTTGGAGCACACCATGTGTTGGAGGTAGTGACTGACGCAGATTGGGGAAGCCAAGCCTTCTCAGATCGGAGATCGATATCTTCGTTCTGCATATTCCTCAACGGCAACCTGTGTCACGCAGGTAACAAAGTGCAGAAGACGATCAGCCTCAGTTCTGCCGAGTCCGAGCTGATGGCCACCTTGCTTGGACTCTCGGAGGGAATATTCCTTAAGCACATGTTGCAGTTTTTGGTTGGTTCCCAAGCTACGGTAAAGTTGGTGCACATGGTCGACAATGCGGCTACCCGAAGTATTCTTCAACGCCAAGGTCTAGGAAGAACTCGACACATCAGCTTAGGGTACTTGTGGGCGCAGAAAGCGCTCAACGAAGGAGTGTATGAAACGAAGGCCATTCCAACCAAAGATTGCCCAGCTGATTTGCAGACGAAGCCGCATCCGCGTACCAGGATGAATCATCTCATGAGCCTCATGGGTCTCGGCATTAACCACAGTGTGACGGTGAACCAAGTTAGTGCCACGCCAATCGCGACCAACATGGGAGCCGGTCAAATCCTTAGAGCTTTAGCGCTTTTGCTCGAGGGGGGAGTTGTGACCGGCCAGTTTGCGCAGATGAGCGGCCATGCTTCGAGTACGACTTCGGGGTTTGAGTTCCTGTTCGGCCTGAGTGTGCAGAAGCTTCACTTCGCAATGTTCTTTGTGATGATGGTGTGCATGATCGGACTGGTGATTTACATGGCTCCCAAGAGGCGCTGGAATCGCGAGTCCACCGCCTCCAGCGACAACATGAACCAAGTGCGAGATCGAGTACATCAGTGGTTCTCCCGAGAGTTGGGAATCATTGAGGATGGCATCGCTAACCATGGCGAGCCCGGTGGCATATGTGAAGACACAAGTTGGAGGGCGAGTCAGCCCTCAAGTTCTACAGCGCGCGATGGTGGAGATGAGCGTTGGCTTCTTTGTCCTTTTGAAGGTGCACACGGCAGTGACAACGAAGGGGGAGCCAACGAAGCCTACACACAGAGCTACTACTACGACGGCGAGGAGCAGGAGGAGCACAACGTCGAGAACGAGGTCCAGGACGTTCCTCATGATCCTCGCGGTGATCCTGAGGACAAGGTTTACATCATCGGCGAGCCGAAGCGCGGCAAGAGTTACCACAAGGTCTCGTGTGGAAACGTGGTGCGTTGGATGAGTCACCTCCCATCCAATGTCAAGAAGATCGACCGCCAGGTTGCAGTGAACAAGCAGCTCAAAGCCTGCAAGCAGTGCAAGCCGTGAACGTGAAACCTGAAAGACTTGAGCGTAGAGTTTTCCTTTTAGCTTCTTGGCCTGTAAGTGCCAAGGTTGCTTTTGGACGTAAGCCTGTTTCTAGCAGCAGTCAAGTGTCTGTAAAGAGCCGTTTTGGTCACCACGCTTTTGGTAAAGAATGTGAGCTCTAACCTAGAACAAGAAAAGGGCCCCAAGATGCCGAAGCTCACATGTGTCCTTGTTTTACTCTGTATGGGATGTTCGGGACTAGAACAAAATCTCCTTCCCTCCGCAAGAAGAGGCCCGACATCAGTAGTAGTTTGAAGCTGTGGTGTGTACAGAGTGCTTTTTCGGTGAACTTCAGTTCTCTCCGGAGAGATGGGCTAACAGCTCATAGAAGCGCCGTTTGGAGTGGAACTCACTCGAGTGGATCGTCTGAGTTCCAAGGGGGGTAACAAACTTTGCAGAAACCCCTTTTGCTGTTTTCCACGACCAGTACTACGTGCGTGACTGTAGGCTCAAGTGTGCTTTGAAAAGTGTGCGTTGCTCTGTTGCCATGAGAATCTAGCGATCGACCGAACCAACACCTACATCGGAGCTATCGAAACCTACGGTATTGAATGCATGGTCTTGGATTCCCTGCCTGTGCTGTCGCTCTGCAAACGACATCGGCGGAAGCCTGGGCTGACATGCAGAAATCACATAATCTAGTAATTAGGAGTTCCAGAACTAGATTCAGATGAGGAGCGTGGCAAAGAACGCCTTTCGCTGGATGTTGTATTCCGTGTCTGCATACGGCGCCCTTTTCACTTTGGTTTCTGCGGTACTTGCTGGCTTCGTTTTTGCACCCGCCTTAGGCTTTGCAACAGCCTTCGACTTTGCCTTTGGCTTGGCTTTGGTGCCTGCGTTTGGGTTGGCTGTTGCTGCAGCTTCTTTCGAAGCCTCAGTTGCTTTGTTTGCTGCAACCAGAAGCCGTTGCCTCTGGGGAACGACAACACAGTGTGTGCCACCTAATGCTGCCTGGACAACATTTTCTGGTACACCTGGAATTGTAGTCACAGGGAGCTCGAACTCCTGAGCTAGATTGAAAGCTGCAATCATGTAGTATAGCGATAGCCCTATATATATACATGTGTAATGCAGTGGCCACACGAGTAATTAGTTCAGCCAAAGCCACGGCAGGACCTCGGCATTCGCGTTTGCGGTCGGCTAGCGCTGCTGGTGGCTTCGCAGCCTGCGCAGTGCAAGCTTGGGTTCCGATGCTGGGCCATGATCGAGTTAAGCTCATTTCGAAGCATAGATCCTGCGTGCAGGGTACAGGTATACGATATAGGCCATTGCTCGATACAGGAAGGGAGGCGTCATCTCATTCAGAAATAAGAATCATCCCGAGGCTGTAGCTTAATTAGGGCAATTTGAGTAGCATGTTATTATAATAGCCTGCAATGATGAGCTGCGTGCACAACATACACACAAAGTCGCGCACACTCTCAGCCCGATTGTTGGAGCCTCCTTCGCAACCGTGGCGGCATCAATCTTCGGGCACCTGGGCAGGGTTTCTCTATACACAGGTCGAATTCTTTAACATATCGGGATTGATTGCAGCAGATCCACTCCGCCGGGCTGGGCGAGACATTCGGTTTGTGTGTTGCTGCCTCAGCAAATTCTGCATACACATCTTATTCTGTTTCCTACCAATGAATGCGGCTGATCTTAAATTTAAAGCATCCGAGAGTCGACAAGCTTGTTACACAGCTGAAGTCGCTCCTCATCCGTAGCCGCACGGCTAAGTTGCCAAGCCATGTCCTGCCAGATCGAGTACCGCAAGATTTTATGTAGATACATATCAACTAAACTAACACATATATATATGTACATATATTTATATATATATATACATATTTCTATAGTTATGTATATATAGGTGTATACATATATATATATATATATATATACATACATTTACATATATGTATATATATATACATACATTTACATATATATATATATATATATGTATATATATATATATATATATGTACAGGGGGAGAGAGAGGCAAAGGACAAGAAGAGTCTATCTAATTTTATGTACAAAACAGAGTGTGTGTATATATGCAGATGTGTATTTATATGTGTGTGTATATATGTACATGTATGATTTATGGTTTCCTGTTTAAACCATTTGAGCCATACACTTGCGTGCTGGCTCATTTCAGGAAATCATTTGATTGAGTATGTCTGCATTTATGTCCTTCGTCTTGCTTATATGTACAATTACAGCGTATGTATGTCTGTATGTATGTATGTTTGTATGCATGCATGCATGTATCTATGCAGGTATATGCATGTCTGTATACACATATATGCATGTGCACATCTACCTGTACATATACAATAGCACAGATAATTAAATACATACATATACATACCACGTACACACACACATATATATATATATATATATATATATGTATACACTAAGAACAAAAGCGTGTACTCGAGATATTGTGTCCAAGCATGTGCCCTTTAGTTGCGTATGTATCTATATGAAAAAGCCGAAAGGACATCCCAACACCTCGAAACACATACAATCTTATAGTTTAATCTGAAACAACACAATCAACATGTTGATTCTGTTATTAATTAGCTCATCGGGTGTCCTGGAGGTTCTTCGGAAACACATCATCGGTGGTTTTGTCTTCCACGGCGCCAGACTCCTGCGAACCAGTCCAAAACTAAGGCGGTGGGCGCATGGGGCTGAATTGACAAGTCGGCTAGCTATATGACATGTAAATGTCTGATTGTAATAGCTCCTTCTTAATCTTGTATTTGGACCAGAAGATGTCGAGTCTATCCTTGTCGGCTTGGCTCGGGTAGTCCTGGGTCACATTCATGATCGGGACCTTTGGCCACGTCGGCCACATATCACTGCCCGCATCGTGGGCCCCATCCGCTGCTTCAGGCCAATCGGCCTGCTCATCAGCAGCCCTTGTAGGTTCGGGCCACTCAACGGTCTCAATCGCCGGCTCGGGCCACTCAGTGGCCTTATCATCAACAGCCCCAGTCGCT